CCAAACAGACCCTTAATTAACATCATAAAGCCCCTCCATATAATGATTCTTTCAATGCAACAGTAATTAAAAATCAATCCATTTTTAAATTAATATATTATATTCGTACAAACAATATAATAGCTTTCAGCTTTTTTATTTTTATTTTTTTTATTTATTAAATAATTATTTGGCATTCATATGTCTTATGAATGCTCCAATTGTATTTTCTATTTTGTGATTATAAAATAAAATTAATATTTTAAGAAAAATGTTACATTCGTCATGTTTTTACTAACCCTAATTCACTTCTTGCTTTGTGTTGAAATAAAAAATTACAAAAGACAACAAAGGATTAGGAATTGTTGTCTTAAATGTTGAACAAACAAATATGGATCTTACATTTATAAGTAGTGGAAATTCTTATAAAAGATATTACAAATTGGACCTTTCCAATTTACAATAGTAATAATAATAATAATATTAATAAATAAGTGGTCAAATATATATGTTACGTAATATATATATATATCTATTTGCATATCTGCGCCTAAATTTAATTTATCAGTGCCACCATCGCATGTTACCATTGCTGCCAACCAAACATCGACCACTGTCAACCAGCCATCGACTAGCCACTATTGTCGCCAACATCAACGACCTACCATTGATCGCCCGACGCTGTTAGCCGCCAACCCCAACCACATGCTTATATAAATCTATTCGATCTGTTCGACGTAGTACGTTTGACTTTGTAAATTTCGGGGATTACAAGGTCAACAGAAAAAGTCTTTGGTTAAAAATAAATAAATAATTTTTATTCAAGAAAAAATCGAAAAGTTAGTTTATCCACTCTTAAATTCATCTCCCCCTCAAACATCATTCAAAGAATTTTGACTTTTCATTGTGCATTTTTAAAATGATATAATTTATAACATTTACATATATATGACTCAATTCTTATGTATTTATACATTTAACCCCTAATATATAGCATTTTATCTATAAATGAAAAAATATATATTTCACTTCTTAGAACTTAAAATAGGAGTATTGTAGATACGATATGAAAGACTTTAATGATATAAATGTAAATATGTAAGAATTGGATGATATGTATATAAATGCCCACATTAAAATTATGTCATCAAGGCAACAAATAGAAATTGCATATTTGCAAACCTACCTTGTTTCCATCGTTGATTTTCTTTTTGATCTCCACTTTTGTCTGAAGCTGTCAAAAAGGCTCAGTAAATCATGGAAAAGTTAAATATAAGCATATTAATTTGATGATTTTATGTCATTTTATGCTAATTAATAGTGACAATGACTTGGTCGCCATATTAGTTATTTCTTCAATATCTCTCTCTCTCCACACAAATGGCTCCAAAATAAATGGAATAATCCAAAAAAACAAACATCATATAAATATATTCATTTATGTGGGTCTACATGAGTTAAATCTTTTTGTCAATTTAATTTTGAAATTATGCAAATAGACTTGGATTGCTAAAATCTTTGGACGAGATTTGGGACGCGTCATGAGTTACATGGCTGATCCATCAAGGCACCTCAGCCAGAATGCTCACCCTGACAGCATGACACGGTGATTAGCCAATGCTAATCGGCCATGGTAACTCGGCGAACAGACTCAAAAAACTAACTGGGTCAGGCATGTGTAGCGAACTCATGGATGGGCTCCTCTAGAAACTAAAATTGACTTCATTAGCTTGCTTCTATGCAGACTAGTTTGACAGGTGTGTTTCTATAGAAGAATTGTTGAAGAAGAAACACTTGTTGGGAGAGGGGTGGGAAAGAAGTTATAAGATATTATAATAACAAACATTTCCGAGAAAGACAAATTAGCATGAATATAAGGCAACAACCCCATGTAGTTGGTCTTGATGGAGCCAAAGAACAAGACACCGATTCACTTGTATCTGATGTGACATTCTCATCCACCATTACTCGTATTAACTTCTCCCTGACATGACTCAAGCCTATGGAGTATGAATATACAATGATGGACATTTGTCAATTGAGTTTAAAGCTTATAATTGGTGCACTTTGACCAAATATCATAACACCATTATTTTATCGTGTTACAAAACAAATTATTGTTAAAGTACACGCAAAATTGATCAAAAAGTCGAAAAATTCATAAACTTTTCCTCAGTGTTAGCTTATAAAATATTTTTTAAGGAGCCTAATACATCTGTCCAAGAAAAAAATGCCTCACTGACAACATGATTTTTAATCATAAAATTATAAAATATACATGTATGACACTATAACAACAAATTCTTGATTTTTCAACAGGGCTGTTGGAGACATGTCAAATGACATAAATATACAAGATAGTGACATCAACATAAAGATTCATGGTATAATATTGGACGACTTATCAAACCAACAAATAATAATTTGTATAGTTGCAAACATACCATCTTTCAATTGTTAATTGTCAATTTGATCCTTGTCAACGGCTAAAGATGCCTTGAGAAGTTAAATATAAGCATGGGCTTTTGTGACTTTTTTTTGTAATCTTATATTAATGATCAGGACTATGTCATCAGTTTACAAATCTCTCTTGATACAAATGACTTCAAGGGGTAAAATTGTAATTATTTGATTTGTTTTGAAATGGTGTAGATTGTCCTCTAAGGTTCTAGAATATTTATGATAATAGAGTGACGGATTAATGTCTTAGTTTAATATGAATATTCAATACACATAAATATAAAGCATGATCATCACTGGATACTAAAGTTTTTTTTCAAAAAAGAATGATGAGGTCTGATCAAATTGAAATAATTATACTTGTGAGATTGTTTGTTATATATGACAATGATCTTCGTCGTAATTAGTGAAGATCGTAGTTGAATATAGTATATATGAATTGTTTGGTACACATTTAATGGTTGAATTTAGAGAAGCTTTGAGGAACTAAGGAATTAGAGTCGTCATCAAGAGGTCGTATGTAACAAGTTATATGACTTTTTTTTTGTTGATATGAAACTAGAGACTAAGAAGATCGATAAAATTTTGGTATTGATGTCTAGATTGCAGTACTCGTTGAATGTGTTCACCAGCTTTGGTAGTATTGACATGTGTTAATGTTGTTGGCAATAACACTACATGAATTTAGGCTTTTTTTGAAAATCACAATTTGTTGATTATGATAAGAAAAATCGTCACTTTTAATGTTACTGACAGTTTGTCGACAGCTCTAAGCTCGTGGGTAAAACATATATCGGTAATTATAAAATCGATTGATATTCCGATTGTATAAATTTACTGATGGTTATTCGACAATTTAATGTCATAGTTTTTTTCAAGAAAATTTGAGTCATCGATAAACGTCAATTTATATGACTAATAGTTCTTCTGTTAGTAATAGCGACGTCATACACCACAGTGCATCCTTCCTTAAATGTCTAGTAAGAGCATCCATGACTAAAACAAAAACATAAGTGCTTAAAGTCGATCCATGATGTAATACAACCGAAATAGAAAAATATTTGGCAATTCTCCTAATTGTTAAACCCTAAAAGTATTTTTCAAATAAAATAAAAATGAAGATAACAAGTTCCCTATCTAGGTCGTTTCTAGTAGCAGAGGAGCGGAAGGAGGAGAAAAATAGGAGCTTCTAGTCACTGTAAGTCAAAATCCCGCCGCTGTGTTCCCAACTAGCTTCTATTCCGACTATATTGTAGGGGTTTCAGAGACAAAGAAAATGGTCTTGGACTAAACAGAGAGGGACATGTGTGGGTTTCGGGGAGAGGCGAGGGCATTGGGTAGAGAAAATGAGAGACAGGGAAGAGAGATTAGGGTAAGACCAGGATAGAGGTGATTTTGGGCGGAATATAGGATTTGTACAAACAACCTATAAACAGCTTTTACTATGTCGGTTATTAACACTATTACCGACGACCGTTCCCTTCGCAAATAACCAAGAACTTAAACAGTCTCAAAAACCGTTGGTAATTACAATAATTTTTCAGACGTTTAAAAAACCGTCAGTTTTTCCATTGGTTTTAGAGTTTTTTTTTTCTGAAGTTTACAAGTGAAGAAATCAACAAGCGTTATCCTCGATGTTAATAGTGTTCGTCAACCATATAGGTAATAACAAGCATAGACTTCCAGACAATGACAACTTTAATGACATTCATTGCTCTACATACAATGAATGACAAAATCAACAAGAATTGATGCAGTCAAATGATAGTTGTTCGGAGATCAAAGTTGGGGATAGTGGTCGAGTAATTCTTGTCAGATGAGAATAGTTAAATGATGGTGATTAGGACATTTAATCGGATGACAATAGTCGAGTAACAGTAGTTGGATGAGGCCAGCCATTTGCTACTAGTTGTCAATGGTATTAATCGCCTAGAAAAATTTTAGAGTTCCTTGGATCTTCCATGATTTCCCTAACTCTAATTTTTAAAAGTGGTATTTTTACTATTATGAAAAAGCAATTTACAAAACTTTCTAGTTTCTATCTAAGCAAAATAATTGGGTTTTTCCTTAGCCATTGCTCTCTACAAATAGCCACATTTTTACTTCATTTCTCTCTCTATCCCCACCACTCTTTTCTCCATGTCTTTAACATTTAAAAAATTTCTTCAAAAATCTTATAATTACAAATCACAAAGACCCCATATTATTTATTTACATTCACAAATTGCACCAACATATAAACATATTAAAATTAAAAACATGTACACACATATCACCCAATTCACATGTATTTATATATCTAACATCTAAACTTTAATTTTTTTACATTAATGCTAACAAAAACCACACAATTCTAATCTATTTACATATCTAAACACCCAAACTTTCATATTCACATGCATAAAACTCAATTTTTTAAAATTACATTTCAAATATCATTGCTATTAGTTGTTGCCAATGTAAATACATAAAAGTTACGGGGCAAGCATGTAAATTATTATTGTCAAGTACGATGTATCGTGCATCGTGTAGACATTGCTGATTGATTCATAAACGTCGTCCGAATCTTCTCTGCAGAGAGAGGGGGAGAGAGGGGGAGAGAGAGTCACTGGCGACTGCTGTTAACTGTGAGGCACTAGAATGGCTTCTTCTGTTCTATACCGGGCCGATGGGCACAACCCCATCGCCTTCCCCGCCAAGATTGATTCCTTCCCCCACCTTCTCACATCGATCACAGAGACCGATTGACGTTTCATGGAGATGACTCCCTCCTCCGCCCTGATGTCATTCTACCAAATCTCTGCTCTGCTATTCTTGCGTGCCGAACAGACCATGCGATGCTCTTCCTCAAAAATCCAATATTTTTCTTCCCTTCTCTCTCAAAACCAGAAAACGACACTCTTTTTTCCATATTTATGTCAAAGTTTCTCTCGCGAGCCCTTGGTTATGAGGTAGAGGCACTGGTTTTGGCTTGCGGCGGTGCTGCACTCTGTTCTTGTTCTGAGTTCTGGGGGTGATGATGGCGAGAGGGAGGTTAGAGATAAAGAGGATAGAGAACCCAACGCAGAGGCAATCCACCTTTTATAAAAGAAGGGATGGACTCTTCAAGAAAGCTCGGGAGCTCGCCGTGCTCTGTGATGCAGACCTTCTCCTCCTCCTCTTCTCCTCTTCCGGCAAGCTCTACCATTACCACTCCCCCTCTGTTTCTAAGTATGAATTGCTTTACCATTCTCAAAATCACTTTTTTTTTTTTTTCTTTCAGTTTGTTTTGTTTTTCTAACGATGAATGGGTACAGCGTGCAGGAGCTATTAAGGAGGTATGAGGTGGCTAGTCGAACGAGGATTCCGACGGATCAGGTAGAGTGAAATCAAGTCCAAGACTCCATTTTTGTTAAAAGCAGAGCAATTTGGTTGCTTGTTGATCTGTGATTTTTTTGTGTGATTGAAGGGAGGGGAGAAGGTGGAGGAGATGGAGAAGATGTGCGAGTTTTTGGAAAGGGAGATAAGGTTTATGAGGATTGGTGAGGAAGAAGAGTATACCTTTCCTGTTCTTGAGGTGATTGAGCAGAACTTGGAGGCAGCCATTAAGAAGGTGAGAGAGGAGAAGGATAGAAAGATTCAAGCTGAGATGGAGAGTCTCCACAGGATGGTTTGTTCCGCCCCTGATTTTTCTTCTTATTTTGATTTCTTTTTTGTGGATGGATTTGATTTTTAGGAGTTTTTAATGGGGTGATTGAATTTGAAGGTGAAGGATAGAGGACTGGAGGGATATGAACTGTGCGAGAAGGTAACTAACTAAACATTTTGCTTCATTTCAATTATGGAGTTTCTTAGTAATTAAAAATTAGATGATACTTTGTCTGGAGAGAACATGTATAACTTCATTGTCTTACATTATTTCATAAAATTTCATCATTTTTTCATAGATATTGCTATCACACTCTGTTTAATATGATTTCGCTCTACTTTTCGAAGCAAATTGGAATTGATCAAACAGAAAGCGAAAATAAACAATACCAAATTTTAGCTTGAAAAATCTCTCGAATAAAATACAAATCAAGGGGACCTTAGACCACCTAAACACCTCAACTAATCAACTGAATAGGTGCACAAAATCCTTATCTAGAACACTGATATAGGAAATCAATTGTCAATCATCACCAAGTATGTGATATACATCAACTCTATCAAACACAGGGGTTTGATAATTTCACGTAATTTAAGAAAAATAAGTGTTTCGAATGTCTTTTTACTTTGTGATCCTCTTGTGATCTTACCAGCTCTGACCACGACTTGTCTCATAAACGTTTGGTCACACCGTTGATGGTTTTGAGCGAAAATCATATAAGAAGAGGGAAGTCAGGTGTAAAAACAAGAGTCTTGTTTTTCCCCCCCTTAACATTAACATGGAAAAAACCCCGAAAAATTGGTTTTCCCCCAAACTAAATGAAGGTTATTGCCTTCACGTGGTAGAGACCCGCAATACTTGTTGTCTCAGAAGATGGCAAAATTTTAACATGAGCAAATGAAAGAGAACTCATACAAGTGAGCACACAGATGACCTATTAGGGCGCTCTACTAACCAACCAAGTGGACCCGCAATACTTGTTGTCTCAGAAGATGGCAAAAAAAGCAAATCAAAGAGAACTCATACAAGTGAGCACACATATGACCTATTAGGGCGCTCTACTAACCAACCAAGTACAGGTTGACGAGCTATTGTACACTAGTTATTGATTACAAGTTAGCAAGTATAAGTTAAAGAGTGGATGAGCTTTTGAACACTGATTTTAAGTATGAGTTGGTAATTACGAGTTAACAGAACAATTTGTCATGTACCAACTTCGGAATATGAGTTGATGGCAAGAAGATATCAAGTGCATTTGTTGAGTACTAACTACCATTGAAGATGATTATTTTCCGAAGCTTAAGTTTGAATTTGACTTTAGGCTATACTAATACTATCATGAACTTTAGTACTCATGTATTGTTTTTTATATAGCCTTTATTATAGCTCTCAAGACCCCAAATTTTCTATGATTACATGATATTGGAGAGATTTATGTGGAATTTTTTATTCGAGGGCTCCACGACCTCAAGAGATATTTAACTAAATAAAGTTTACAATGAATACTCCCTATATGTGAGCAATAACTCGAGGCAAAGGCTTATTCAAACTTAATAAGACTATCTAAAATCATTTATAACCGAGTTATGTTACAAAAAAATAATGAATTTAGTAGACAAAATAGATCAAATAAGAAAAATTGAATCCACAACAACACTTGGAGAACTCGTTCTACAAGATGAATTCACCCTCATGTTGGCCAAACAAATAAATAAATGTTATGATAGTAACAAAGAAATAATACAAAATGATTTATCTTATATAAATTCAATATAAGGTTGAGCTCACTGAGTTTTGGCACTACTCCCTAGAGGTTGAGCCAAAATGCCCCCAAGACACAATCTTGCAAAGGAAGCTATAGTGCTTCTAAGCTGATTTTCTTTAAGAGAGCAAAGACCGCTAGCAAATTGTTAGGCAACATTTAATGAGTTTTTTTAGATAAAAATAAGATCGGATGAACCTAACATCTTTTAAAAAAATATGACAGCATGACTTATTTTATGGATAAACTCGTCCATGAGAGCTCGAGGGTATCAAATCGGGTTTGCATGTAGGGTAGGGTTTGGGTTGTACTCGAAATTGACCCAACACAAATTTCTTGCCCCGAGCCCAACCCAACTATTAAATTAGTCAGAAAGTTCAACTTGAAATCGACCCGCTTTCAACCCTCCGACCTGAACCCAACACGAACTAGTTCTGTATAACATGTTTAAAACAACGTGTAACAACTAGTTTGGTCAAATTTGAGTTGGTGGGTGCATTTTGAGTCCATCTTGATTTAGCGGATTGGTATCAGGTCAATTTTAGGTTGGCAGATTAACCCAAACCTGACTTGAACGGGTTAAGATTCCTAACTTGAACGGGACTTTAAAATTGTTCAAGTCAACCCGAACATGAATGTTTTGAGTTATGTTTTGGTTGATTTTGTGTTTGGTCAATTTTTTACACCCTTTTAATATACCACACAAAAACCTTCTTAATGAAGGGACATATTACCGATTAAATTTTCTCTAATTTCTCTCTGAGAGGCTGACCACATAATTAGGTCAATAACAAATATTTTGAAGTGAATAGATTTTTCTGATCCTCTCTTTTTTTCCTAATTGTTTTCCAAAAAATTCAAGAAAATTAGAAAGTTAATGTATTCCTCAAAGAGTTTATTAATTTGTGTAACCAAGTTGTTCTGGCAAGTCACCCTATAGATCTATCACTTTTAAGTTGACGAGTTGATGATCACTAGTTGTTATGCAAGTATAAGTTGCTGAGTATACTACGTGTTACAACTCAACTTTATACAATATGTCAAATCGGGCAGGCCGCCTCGTATCAACGTCACAGTAGTTAAATTATTTTCATTATTTATTTGAAAGAAATTTTAATTCTTATCTTTCTTCAAATTTTTTGTACAAAGAGCCATAATATCCTAAAAAATAGAATATAACATACTAAAATTTCATTTAGCCCATAACTCAACTATACCACAATCATCATAAAATTTATGTCATTAAAATATAATAAAAAATATCAGACTCAACATAAATCAAAAGCCTCTAATCAACCTAAAACTTACTCCTATGAAATAACCCACAAAAGAGTACCCTCCTTAAAATCTACTACATTTCTCAATACACTAAAAAAAAGATAATTATTTGAAGTAAATTAATTAAGCATGCCAAACATCTTATGGTGTATCTATCAATTATGGTGCATATGTCGAGCAACCGTGTAAGCAACATGATATCATAAATAAATTAAAATAAAATGAAATATAAACTCATTACTTTATTTGAATATTTATTTATCTATTTTCATTCTTTTGCTTAAGGGTCTGTTTGGGACAGCTTATAAGTGCGGGCGGCGTTTTGAAAACGCCGCCGTACCGTTTGGTTCGCGCGTTTCACCAACTCATCCAAAACTGCGTTTGGGTTTTCACACTAAATGCGGGCCTCGGGTCGACCACTGCGGCCGGCCCACGGGCCCTGGCCGCGCTTCAGGATAAGCAGCTTATCCTGAAACGCACAAGCTGCCCCAAACGGACCCTAAGTCTCCACTTCGACTTATATATCTAATTGTTCCCATCATGTCAGACATATCAGACACATAAACAAATAAAAATATTGCTGAACAAACTCTTATAATTTCACTTGATTACACATTAATAATGGAATTTATTGGTACAAACCACTAAACATGAGTAATAATGAAATTTATTGGGGAATTGACAAATTTTATTTAATTGCAGCAATCTCTTGCGCCAACATTGCATGGAGACTCTTCGTTTGGAGAACAAGCTTTGTTTGGCTACGAGCTAGATCTAAAATTAGGTATTTTGTTTTGGCTAATTATTTGCATTTTTCAACAAATAATTTTTTTTATAATTATAGATTTTACATTTTTGTCCTAAAATATTTATATTTTTTTAGGTTTTGATTAATGATTGAAGCCTCGGGTCACTGGTCATAATTAGGACGTGTTGGAGAAGTATTATAGCAGATATTGTTTCTATATTCATAGTGTTATGATACATTTTGTTTTCCTTTTTTTTTGGTTTATGTAATGGATTTTTCGTTGGTATTTGTGTAATTATTTATATTATGCGCCGGTCACCCCTAATTTGTATGACCTCCTTAAGGCATCGTCGTCACCTCTGTTTCAAACCTCCGAACTGAGGGACTTAAAACTGACATTGCAGATGCCAACAAATAAGTCGAGATATGCACACAAAAGGACAATTTTGAATGCATTTTATAAAAAGCAATAATTCTTATGTATTTACATATCTAATTCTTATTAAATCCTTAACATCATACCAAAGGTACAATTATTTTTTATTTTTATTTTTTAAAGTGAAATACATATTGGCATTCATGTAAATTCATAGAATAGTTGTGGTGTACATGTAAATTGTGTGGGTGGTTGGATGTATTAATAAGTTTTGGGAAGTTTTGAGGTTGACAGCTAGCGGGTCAAAGATGCTTAGTGTTCTTCAAAATAGGGCACAGAAGTCGAACCCTAGTTTAATTTGAGTCAGACTGACCTGACAAAATACTGTAGTTAGTTATTCTTTTTGTGTCATTATCGGGTTCGCCTTAGTGTCTAAACTAAAATTATAATAAATAAATTATATTTATTTATATATTTACTTCGATAATATGAAATAAAAAAAGAATATAAATATTTAAATAATATATTCTGAATTTTAAAATAATATAAGTATATTTTTATTAAATTTTTTAAGGAGTAACTTATTAGCTCATTGAGCTTAGTTCACAAGCTTGAACCAAACTTGGGCCGACTCATAAGCTGAGTTGGCTCGGTCACAGCCCTAATTGGTGAGTATTAAGGGTGTCAACAAGCCAAACATGAACGAGCCCAGGCTCAACTTGTGTTCTGCTCGTTTATGTTCGACTTGTTTGCTTAGCGAGTCAAACAAGAACTGTTCAGGAACAAAGAGTCATTTTGACAACCCTAATCTCGTAGCCATAAGTTATTAATGGTTAGGACAAAATTTAAAACATCATTTGAATCTAATTTAATATTTTTTATCCTATATTCTTCATTAATACTTTTAATTGATTATAAATCTTTGTAGCCTTGTAGTCAATTAAATTTTCTAAAAATAATATTCATCAAAGGTATATATATATATAATTAGTAATATTTCGAGTCAAAATTAGCCGAACATGAACAATATGTTCGGCTCGTTAATTTAGCGAACGAGCCGAACACGAGCTTATTAACGAGTAGAACATGAGCTGTTCGCGAACAACGAGCCGTTTTGACAGCCCTAATGAATTACAATCATCTTGTTTTATGGAGTGGATATATATATCTATATATTCATGAGTAGTATTTAAAGCTAACAAGAGCCGAAGATGAACAAATAAATTTTTGTTCATATTTGGCTCATTAACTTAGAGAACGAGCTGAACACGAACTCTTAACAGATATAACACCAAATGTTCGCGAACAACAAACCGTTTTGGCTGACCGAGGTGAATAGAAGTGTTGTGTGAGCCGGTGAGGTCAGGCTCAGTGTATGTGATTGAATGCGAGTCACGTGACCCATTTATTTCAAAAAGAAAGAACCGGGTCAGGTCATTTTCAACTGCTAGATTTTCTATATGTACATTTTAGCATTGATAACTAATGGTAAAAACAAGAAGAAATCTATAATATATTTTAAATCAAATATGCTTCGAAGATTTCTATGTAATTACAAATCTAATATCTAAACTTCAAATCCGTACCTGCATTATATAGGGCTGCCAAAATGGCTGGTTGTTCGCGAACAGCTCGTGTTCGACTTTTTAAGAAGCTCGTGTTCGGCTCGTTAATTTCGTTCGATAATTTAACGAGCCAAACATGAAATAAGATGTGTTCGTTCGTGTTCGGCTTGTTTTGGCATGAAATACTACTCATCAAGCTTATATATATATAAAGTAGTATTTTAAAAAAATATAATTGACTACAAGGCTACAAAGATTTATAACCAATTAAAATATTGATTAAGAAAATTGAACAAAAATTATTAAATTAGATTCAAATGATATTTTAATATAAATAATATTTTTTGAATCTTGTTATATGGCTATATGATTAGGGTTGTTAAAAGGACTCTTTGTTCATGAACAGCTCGTGTTCGACTCGTTAAGCAAACGAGCCGAACTCGAAATATAAACGATCCGAACACGAGCTAAGCATGGCTCATATAAAACTTGAGCATGGCTCGCTCGTGTTCGACTCGTTTACACCCCCTACCTGCACATATAAACGATCCGAACACGAGCTGAGCATGGCTCATATAAAACTTGAGCATGGCTCGCTCGTGTTCTACTCGTTTACACCCCCTACCTGCACATCATATTTCACTTCTTTTTATGTTATAAACAAGATTTGGGGGCTGTAAATGTAAAAAAGTAAAATTTATGTGTTCGAAAAAGTAGATGCATAAGAATTAGGTGGCATGCATGTGAATGCCCCAATTTGCATAGAATATTAAATATATAAACAGAGCTATAAAGAAGTTGGGTATTTATGGGGAAAAAACTAAAAAAATAAAAATAAAAATAAAAATTATTATTATTCTTAAAAATTAGACTAATTAAAGTTTAGCAACATTTTAATAATAAATTAATGAAAAAATGCACCTTAAAACAAACATTAATTTTATTTATTGTGCTCGCTATATTATTATTGGGACATGCTAAAATTAAAGACTTGTGAAACCATCCGAGTATTTTGATGTATTAGCTTATGTGACTTGAAGTATGCACTGATGTGGATCTTATTTATGGGCTCATATAGACCTGAAGCGTGTACTAATGTGATTCTTATAGGCTTCGAAATACTGTTACTATTCAAATTTTTATGTTTTCAATTAGTTGCCACGAGAAATAAAACTAAATTATTAGGATTTTTATATATTTATTAAGATGGTACCTAAACTTTCATAATTATAAATATCATATGAAAAATAACGCTGATTATCACATTTTTTTTGATGATAAAATGTATTATTTAATCCATATTTAAAATGTTATGTGGGTAAATGGTGAGAGTCTAACTGTCAGATAGGTAGATCATAAGAATTTGGTGCCATGCAAGCCATTTTCCCGAGACTTTAGTCTTTGTCTCCGTGAACTAACGAAAAGATGGATTAAAGATTTGATAGGAAATTTAATTGGCATAAATGCATGCATGTAAAAGGTAAAGGTTAGGTTTTGAAAGCATAAGATTTAGGTCGTATGTACGTAAATTTTCCCCTACCCCTGCTTAGATTTGGTTCTTAGGGTTAGGGTTAGGTTTAGGTTTAGCTAAGCTGCATTTATTTTGACACTGAAGCAGCAGATCAGACGCTCAGTTCATGGGAAAGGTACACACATGGACGACGCACTTGTTCACTCTTCCCCATTCCACAGCCCCTCTTCTTCCTCCACCCCCATCAAAAATTTGATTTCCACAGCCCCTCTTCTTCCTCCACCCCCATCAAAATTTGATTTTTTTTTTCATGGACAAAAAAAGAAGAAAACTTTACGCAGAGAAGAGTAATTACTGCCATAAATTCTCCTGCAACAAATCAACTAACTCCTCGCTCCCCTGTTCTTCCAGTATTTATGAACCTCTTCACTCCATGGCATGCCGTAATCAAATCAGCATTTATATACGTGAGGAGTGTTGCTGAGATAGATAAATTTATTTCTCTAGCTTTTGTTCATCCTTCCTGGTTTAGGGGTTCGTGCAGGCATGGGAATGGAGAGGGAGAAGAAGAAGATGGATGTTTCTGTCCTGTTTTGTGTTCTTTCAGTAAGCCGTTTCTGCTGGCTCGCAAGCGGCAATGTTGCAGAGGTTGAAAACCAGAAGAACTATTACCTCCATGACCAGACTGCTTGGAGCTCGCCAAGGCGTATGGCTTCTTAACATTTTTTTTTCACAAAAATAACATAAAAGTGGAATTTAAACACATTTTATATTAATTTAATTAAAGAATAGCTTTAAAAAAAGTATTTTGAATTATAAAACTTTACCTTTTTTTTTCCAGATTCTCACAATAGCCGGCCGGATTGTACCACTCCAACAACCCCATCCGGCGGCGGCGGCGGAATCCATTACTCTCCTCCAACAACGCCATCCCACGGCGGCGGAATCACTCACTCTCCTCCCTCCGCCCCTTCCCACGGCGGCTCCGGCGGCGGTTGCAACTGCAACACTCCCCCCTCCATCACTCCAACTCCACTCGTTCCCCTGAATCCACCTTCACCAACCACTCCAATCTATCTATCACCACCAAGCCCTCTGCTTCCCTTCAGTCCGCCGCCCTCCACCCCCAATCCAACTCCCCCTTACATCCCAATCGATCCAAACTCCCCTCCCTTCCCCTGCAGGTACGCCAACCTCCATCCCGTCGAGCTCTGTTTTCACTTTCCTCCATTAACAGCACTAAAAATCCTTCTTTTACAGCTACTGGTTCGCCCACCCCACCGCCATTTGGGTTCTTTTCGGCTACTGGGGAACAGTCGGGACGATTTTCGGCACCACTCCGGCGACCGGCATCGCCTTCGGAAGAAACTTAAGCTTGCTCGAAGCTCTGGGCAACACGCGGGACGATGGCTATGGAGCCCTGCTTCGTGAAGGAACAGCTTCGCTTCTCAACTCAATGGCGAGCAAGAGTTTCTTTTTCAATACCGAGCAGGTGAGGGAAGGATTCAACGCAGCTGTTCAATCGGAGAAGATGGCGGCCGATCAAGCTAATATCTTTCAGAAGGCTAATGAAGGCCGTCTGAAGCACTGATTGAAGGAGGTTGGATTTAGTTCTCTGTTTTTTGGGTTTTTTTTTAAGGTGTTTTGTGTCGTATCAGTCTGATGGTTGGTGGATTTCTGATTTATATGTTCAGTTCTGTTGTTTTCGGTAGAATCTTTGCTTGGTTCTAGTGATTTTATTGTGCTGAAGTTATATTCATGGCTGAAATTAAAGGAAGATGTTTGGGGAGAAATCTAAGGTTATGTTTGCAATTTGAAATTTATGGCCTTTTAGGATATTTTAATGAACATAATGTGGTGAAATAGTTATGAGAAGTTTATATGAATGCCACAAAAATCTCATACATTTGTGTATTAATTAATTAGCTAATGATTGATACTGAAAAATTTTAATTTTGCTGTAAAGAAAAGAGCAATCTCTTAAAAATTAGAATGCTATGTAAATATGAAAATTTCAATGGTGCATTGCATATAAGTGCATGAGAGTGATTGTTATGGGCCAATTATATATGGACCACTGAAGCTTCTTATATACAAATCTATGACCCTCTTCATTTATTTCTCAAAATATCACTCAAATATCAAAATTCATGATATAACCAAAATCTTTTTTTTTTTCATTTTCTTATATAAATATTATATATAAATTATTAACCTTTTATATTGAAAAAAAATCAATATTTAATAGTACAAATTTGATCCTAAATTTATTATTATTTTCATTTGGAAAGTACAAATATAAATGTTTTTAATTGTGATATTGTAAGAAAACCTAATCAATTTAAAGCATTGTTGGCCGCTTTTTATCTCCGTTTTAGATTTATATGAGTGATCCCGACATGTCAAGCCCCTGGTAGTCAATTTGGTTCTTCTAAGGCATGTCTAGTCTCTGGTGGTTTATTTAGGTTATCTCCTGGTCAGAGTCCTAAATCCACTCAACCAGAGGTTGGGGGGCTTGATCTTGCACTGATGAGATCCAGGAAGGCACAACCCTAGTTTAGGGTCATGTTTGAGGAAAAATAATTGCATCATGATATCTAATACAAATTTGCACAGGTGTCAAATGCAGGGTGCCACGTGAAAACCCGGGCCTGAACCGTGTATGTCAGTGGGCCCAAATTGTCACGTGGCTCCCTGTTATTGGCATCTGATGTGAATTTGCATATGGTGTCCTGATGCAATAATTTCTCGTGTATGAGTGAGTGAGATGAGTCATCACAAAAATGAGGTCAACAAGCTTGCACAAAGATAAAAATGCACAAATTTGCAATTTTTTTCAACATAAATAACAATTTTGCATAAATGAATACTAGCAAAAATAATAGTGCTAATATAACATCATTTGGGATCTTTTTTTATGTTTTTTTTACAACTATTATTATTATTATTATTATTATTATTAT